TTTTTCATTTTTGGTATGTATCAAGAATGTCAGAGGAGAAACATCTTTACTGAACAAGTATTATACAAGAACAACAGAAACAGGAATTTCCAGCATATCTAAAATAATCATGGATAACATATTCATTTAGAATCATAAAAATGATAACTTAATAGATTGAAGAATAGAAAGATTTAAGTAGATACGAAATCATACCATGAACAAAGAAATATGTATCATCATGTCTGCTAAAAACATCTATTGATATTCTTCCACCACCACCCCCAGCAAATCCATTTCCTCCAGCAGCACTTATTTGTCCACGTCCAGTCCTGGAGTTCATAGTAGTTTTCAGGCAGTAGCCATATATTGCTCCATAAGGAAGAACTTAAGCCTACCATTAAAACCTACCTTGTTGGCAACAGATTTTTCTTAACAAGACAAGTGAGGCTACCTAAATACAGAATAACAAGTGCAACATATCCTAATGAAAAACACATACATATTTTTAGTGAGTGAACTGAACAAGTGGGGTATCTAAGACTAGTGACAAATTCTCTATCATTCTTCTTGAAAATGTCCTAGCCTTTCATAAATATTGATGCTGACTCTCTTATGTCCAAGAGGCTATAAAATTCCCTACCAAGACATTACTAACCATTGAATAAAATTTGCCTTTGATTTCAAACTTTGACCTCTGCTTCTCCACTCAAAAGATTATATAATATGTCACTAAGAAGTCTTGCAAACAAAAAACTAAGCAACTTTATGCAATATATATACCCAAAAAAGATTTTATGCGTTGAGGAAGATGCATATGGCAGGTGGTATCCACCGCTGCTGTTTCATCCAACCGCAAGAAGATGGATAGAAATCCAAAAAAGCCAACTAAAAGCATCTCAGTTAATGATTTGATGGCATGAAACAGAAGCATAAATATAAAAATGTGCGCTATATATGCAGAATTGAAAAGTACATATCCGACTAAGTCAATTAGCCGACTAGTGGATTTAGAAGAGTTTACATTCTTTGAGCCTTGATATAAATGCTGCCACCAGAACCTCCTCCCCCCTTCACACCACCATCTCCACCATCAGCCATGAGTCCCCCGTCAACCTCAATCGAGCTTTTCACCTCCAACCATATCCTGCCACCTCCTTCCCCTCCATAATTCTCCCCTTTACAAGTCGTGCCACCTTTGCTCCCATAACTCCACGGCTCGTCCAATGATGACCACGAATACGCGTCCCCTCCCCACACATCATCCGGCAGTTTTGTATTGTCTGTGACGCAACTGGCGCCTCTGCCGCCATGGCCACCTCCAGCACCCTGCACCCCGGAGGGAGTACCACTGGTCTGGGCCGGGGGTTCACCCGCCAAGCCAGTTACATTCACCACAGACCCAGAAAGTAAACTTGCATTCGAAGCGTAAATCGAAACTGACCCAGCAACTATCATCCCATTGAGGCGCAAAGTGAATTCACCACTTACATTGATTAAAATCGAGCAACCCCTTACCGCGCAGCCGAAGATTACACCGGGAAGAATGTGTAAGCTTCCGCTTCCTTCAATGTAGACGTCGTGATCGAAGATCAAGCTGGAATTGAGCTGGCAAGAAGTGTCGAGCGAGCCGATGCCCATAAGGTCCTCCGCGCAGGAGAGCGGTGGAGGAAGAGGAGGCAATGAAGGTGGCGGCGGGGATGGAGGAGAATAGTCCCCGTGAAACGTAAAGGCATCGAAACCGATAACCGGGAATTCATCCTTGTTTGGATCAATAGCGAAAGAAACAGTTGTAGTGAAAAGTGGCAGGATGTTGTAGAAAAGCAAGAGAAAAACAACATGCGAAGATTGAGCCATTAAATGAGGAGCGACTCATTTACAGGGAAGGAGTCGCATGAGTTGTAACAAAGTGGGTTTCGACAAAGCAAGAAAAGTGAAGAGAAGGGGTGGTTGTGGAGATGGGCACTGGAATTACAGAATTATTACGCTGATTCAATAAGCTGAGTGAGACTTGAAGTAGAAATTTGGATTCGGTGATAGATCAGAAATGGAAAAAAAAACGACAAGTTTGGTGGCCGTTTCGGGAATCTTCCTGGAAGATAAAATGGTATTGTGAGAAAAAGAGAGGAGGAATGGTGGCGAGTGAATGAGAGAGAGAAGAGGGGGGGGGGGGGGGGGTGGGGGGAGGGGAAATTGAAAAGAACCATGAGGGAGAAAAGAGAAAAGGAAGAGGTCACACGTGCCTATCACACGTGTGATGCTTCAGTTACCCCTCTACTGAAAACTTGATACCTGTTGGGCCCAAAATGTTTTCAATGTTTATAATTTAAAAATCCATCCAGACCCATTTAAATTTTGTTTTGTAGCTTTTTTTATTATTCAAGGCAGATTATTTTAACAAATATTAATTTAGGAGAAGGTCAATATTATCTTTCTATTATATTTATTTATTTATTTATTATTCTGGGTCTAAGTGGAAATTTTATTGATTGAGAAATTTGATTTAAAAAATTGCATCTTCTTTATTGTTGTCACCCTATAATAACGTACACGTAGTTTACATGAAGAAACAAATTAACTTGTCGTACAAAGCATGATCAACGTTCCTGTCGATATTACAGCATCATATTATGCTAATGCGAGAGGAGAGAAGAAAAAATAGAAATAAATTTAAATATAAATTAAGTTAATTATATATATTAAATCCAGGTTAACCCCATCGAAATGGATATTTTAAAATTATTTGCTCTCTCTAAATTAATATATAAATTATTGGTTGAATTATCATCTCTCAAAAAAAAAAAAAAAACAATCAGACTAAAAGTAATCGAGATAAGTGTCAATTAAAACAAAACTAATTTAAAAAAAATTAATATTTTGAATTACAAGAACATATATTTTATGTGACATAATAAACAATTACTAGTCGTTATATAGTTATGTAAATTTGTTCTACTTATTTCTTCTTGAAATACTCTATTAAATTTTAAAAAAATTATTAAAATTAATTATTATAAATTATAAAAGATCGATATCATTTTTATTTTTAAAAAACAAATTTAGATAAATTCGTAGTACTAATTAATAACTGACGAAAGTATGATTGCCCAAAGAAAATAAAATAGAAGCCAACTATCAAAGAACAAAGTGGATGAGTACAAAGGACTCGAAATTGATTTATTATCAACAAGAACTAGGGAAATTTTTAATTTTTTTTCTAAAAAATAAGGAACACAAACTTAATGGAAAAAAAATTGACACGCACTAATTGATGTTAAATAATGATAAATGAGATTACGTAAGGATGTACATGAATAATTGATAATGCTAATTTCAAATAAAGTTAATGCATAATTCAGTTAAAATTAGAAATTAGATTAAAACTAATTTCTCGGTTCAGATTAGACTAAATTAAATTAGACATAATCCGGTCGATATATTAAGATAAAAAATTTTAGTTCATATGAGATTTAATCACGGTCTAAATTAATAAATTAAAAAATAGTACTATTATTTTTATTATTATATATATATATATATATACAAAAAAAAATTAGAAAAATCTAAGAGTAAAGGCAACTTGCTTTCCTCACACACCCGGCAGCGACACCATCTCTTTTTGTTTTCTTCGTGCACGCGGTGGCAACACTTACTTTCTTCATGCACACAGGCCGCGACACCACCTCTTATTGCTTTCTTCATGCACCGGACAAACACACGACACTTTTCCTCTTCATCCTCTTGGTCTTCCTTTTTTCTTTTTTGATGAATATGTTGAAAAATAGAGATAGCTAAGAGGGATAAATTATATATATATATATATACATATCAACGTATATACGCATTGAATGTAAATATTGTACTTTTTTATTAGTATTTATTAAGTTTTTAATAAAATTATAGATAAGTGGAAGTAGGGAAAAAAAGAACATTAACAATATGTATGTATGTACGTATTTACATATATTTTTTTTCAAGTATTCTACATGATTAATGGAAGGGAACATTCCTCTCCCTTAATATCCATTTCCACCATATCCATATCCTTATCCTAAGGTAAGAAACTCCATCTCTCTAACAACATGCTCAATGCACCATTCTGCAACTTTTTTGTTTCCAATCAGTGCTTCCATAACCAGTTTGGACCACATAGATCATTAATCCTTGAGGTTTTCCCCTACAATAGAACTGCTTCTACTTTAGTTATCAATGGATTGATAGCACTGGACCTCTCAACTATAGCTTGTTCGTGGTGCGCATGTGTATGTGTATATATACATACATTGCCCTATATCTATAGGTTATATATATGATTTAAAATTTTTATTAGTTGTTTAATAAAATTTAAAAGAATTAACAATAAAATAATGAGAAGATATATATAGTAGTATGTTTATATGTATTATTTTCATTTGTATTAATCTTTTAAATTAAAATATATTTTTAAAAAAATGAGAAAAAGTTTAGTCTCTCTCAATTCATATTGGATCAGACTATAAATTACCGATCCTAACTAAATTAGATAGTATATTAAATGGGTTTGATCTTCATCATTCACCTTCTTTCATTTTTAATTTTTGATATGATCTAAATCAATTTGATCCAATTTAATTTT